TGTAGTTTATTAGTGAATGCATTGCAGTAGACATTGCTTTCCTTTCCTGCAGAGTAAAAGCTCTTTCTCCTGCCCTGGCCATAAAGATAGCTTTGCTGTAAGAATCACAGATATAAATGCTGGCCATATTTTGCCATCTTGTATGTTTTTTTGAAGTGTTGCAATGCATACTTTACATTGCCTGATAATTTTCTGTGTTCCCTAATAACACTAAAAAATTCTCTTGCTTTGCCCCTTTTATATATTACCTTTAGAGATCTTCTCTGCAGCTGTCACTTTCCAACATCATTTCACTCAAAATTCATCAATTTGTAATCAGATAGAAAGAAATGGTTTGCACTCTTTTCCCAAGCCAGGAAGACCATATTTATTTCTTTGTTCCCAGTTCTCACTGGTCTGAGTGAGACTCAGCATCCTTCACGATGCATACAGCTGAATGACTGCCGTCCTGGTACAATACTTAGTTCTGGAAGGACATTTATTCTCAGTGACAAGTCACAAGTCCTGAGAAAGTGATATTCAGTCTAACCACCACCTACAAAGTGCAGCTACTTTGACAGTCTAGCTATTTAGCACTGCATGGAATCCCGCATGCTTCTTCAACTTGTCTTTTGTTAGTTGAAAATTCCTCCCTGCCACTGGCTCTGTTTAACCATGTTTTATTTTCTAGCCAAATGCTATTTCTTGGCACACAAGCAGGACAAATTCCGAATTCTTCAACTTGGTAGCAATATCCTAGGCTGCTGTACTACATAATGCTTGAACCTGTAAGTATTTTCTATTTTTCATCATCTCTTTCCAGAGGGAAATTATAATTGGCAAGATCAAACCCAATTTTTCAGGGAGTGACCTGCTAAATACCCATGAAACAGAAGGATGCACAGATTTTCTGGGGGTTTAGTTTATATGCTGGAGAACAAAAAACAAAAAAAAAAAATCAAACTTTTTTTTTCCCCTCTGTATACTAATTAGCTATGTTGTATCAGCCTGAGTTCCTTTACTGCAAAAGTAACTTGTAGGAACAACCTTCAAAGCTCAACTTTAGCTTGACAAAAGCTAAACACTGCAAATGAAAACGATTAAATCTATTTAACACTCTCCCCATTATTTTTCTCTAATATTTCTGAAGAAAGGGAAGCACTACCTCTCACAGAAATCAAATAGAAAAGATCAGTTTGAGAAGACCTGCCTCCTGTGGTCACTTGACCTGGCTATCAATTGAAACAATGCTACGCAGAAATACTTGACTGAAGGCACTGTGGAAAATAGAGAGCAGATAGCTAATCCACAAACCTCTGAAACCTAATATTTCATATTTCTTTGGTGTAGTCACATAACTTTGGGCAAACTGGTTTTAAGATGCTACCAGTACTGGCACAGTATGGAGACAAGACCTTCTATAGGCTACTGTATCAAAACACAGTTAAACTGAGTAAACTGCAATTCTCATCTTGGACATTAATCTCTCAACTATCAGTGACAGGAACACAGAGATCATTTTTGCTGTTTTGGGTTTGTTTTGGTGTTTTTTTTGGTTGTGTGTTTTTTTTGGTTTGTTTTTTTTTTTTTTTGGGGGGGGTGGGAGTGGGGGTTTTTTTGGCTTTTTTTTGTTGGTGGTTTTTTTATTTTGTGGGCTTTTTTTGTTTGTGTTTTTTTGTTTTGCCTTTGCTAAGGAAGTGGAAGATTCCCATGGCTATTTCCATACCTGCTTATCACCTGCCACTCAAAACAGAGTCCATAAATTTAACTCTTCATTATAAAGGAAGTGTTTGGATTAAACTGTCCCAAATTCTTCAGTTCCGAGGAGGAAATTCTTATATGTTAGGTATCAGTTGTGATAAAGATATCTGATGTGATCCATTGATGTAGAATTAAACTGACAAAAGTTTAATCAATTCTTGTTGCTATCCTAACCCTGCCAAATATACACTGATGAAGGTATCAATTTTTAATTACAAAATTGTATCAAAGTCCAGGGATCAGGGAAATTCCTACCTCTCATTAGCTGGTGATCAATGCTCCACGAGTAAGATAAATTACCCTCTCTCTTTCTCACTGAAAAAAGAAAGCGAAGTAACTAAGAAAAAAAATCAACTTCTATTAAATATTACTCTACCTATTTACTTATACAGAAGTTCCCCAAGGCTACAAGTGATTATGCTGTTTTAATCAAAGAGCATACAAAGCATACATCCCAGCTTTTAAACACAGTACTAAGACAGAATAATCAATCTACCTTTATGAGAAAAAAACCTTAAGTTCTCATAGTTGGGAAGTATTCTTCAGCACAACTGTTCCTATAGAACAGATAAGAACACAAATATTTGCTACATTTATTTCAAAAAATGAAAAAGATACATTTCTGCTGTAAAAGGTAGTTACACCTTTGTTTTATGCAAAGGAGCAATGAAAGAAAACTCAAAAGCATTCTTGTTTTAGGAAGCTTCCTAAAGCACATGCAAGACAAAACTGAACAAAACACATTTACAAGTAACAACAATAAACCTAGGGAAAGACTTGGAACCTGACATTAGAATTTATTCGCTCTTCTAGAAGTCTACCCATGTTACAATGGCCATAGGTCATCCAATACAATGACAAATTACTGTAACAGTCTTTAAAAATGGCAGCTATCCTCTCTTCACATGCTAAGAGATAGATACTGGGAAGTTTTCTTCATTGCAGAAACTGAACTAGGTAATAACCCCATTCAGATACCTGTCTTTACCTTAATTCTAATTAAACTTCTACATCTGCCCTGTGCCACAGTGGACTGTAGCATGAAGCTCAATTAGGAGACATATATCTGTCAGTTTTTCACTGAAAATAAAGAAAACATAAATGGGTGGGAGGATATTTTTTGGTCAGTCTGCTACCACTCTTTAAATAAAAGGATACATTTCTTATTTAAAAGTGCATTCCGAAAAGAAAGGCAAACTATAAATTCATTTCCATCAAAAGCTACTTACTTCTCAAGACATCCCACCTCAAACACTTTTGAGGCAATATAGTTAAACATTGATCCAAACTAAAAAAATGGTTTCTTTTACTTTGAATCAAAAGCTTTGGCAAACAAATTGAAGCTTCTTCTGAATGGACTGAGGAATTACTTTCAATTAGAGGAATATGCTTAGAAACACACAAAGGAATGCTTCAAAGGTAAGTAATTTTATATAGGCACCAAACTCAAGAAATTATTTTTGAGACTGAGTTTTGGTTCTTTCAAATTTATGCTTAGCTTGAGACAACTGAAAAATTTTTGTTAATGAATTGTAGGTTTGATAGATGAATTGTGACAAGCATTCTATTGTGGTTTTGGCACACTGTCCTGCCTCTCAGCTTTAATGGCCACGAGACGAACCTCAGTTCAGGAAAAGGAAAGCCTCTAGTCTTAATTTTGAAATGCTGTAAAGTGATATGGAAAACAGGAACTCACTGAGAAGTACAAAATAATCCTGTATTCTGTAGCAGCCCACAGTATCCTGAAATCAGAGACATTCTGCAGGACACAGGAGAATGAAGATGTGCACACAGGTGCTTTCCAAAAGCAATCTGAAGAGTGAAGAATCAAGAGATTCCAGAACTTCTATTTGAAGGAAGGTTCTCCAAATTAACATTACATCACAATAGCAAGCAGTGGTACCTAAATGCAACTTTTCCTAGTATGAAATTATTAGAAACATTGTTTTCACTAAGGCAGGGAGAGGAGCGCTGTTTCCAGGAAAAAAAAACAAAAACAAAACCAAAACACATTCATTCACTTCCCTAGCAAGCAAACACTACATGCTTTTGAAATCTTTCAGTGTACTACATGAAACAAAGTGCTTCTCAAACAACTCATCTAGTAAGGTTATGGCATAACGTAGTTGAAAACTGTTCCAAGATGTCAGATTATGAATAAAACAAGAATGTATTGATGAGAGCTTTGAGAATGTTTCTTTGTTTTGAAAAAAATATAATAAAAGCAATGCAATTAAAAAAACCTGCTTTCTTGGACCAACTTCCTTTTGTAAGGCAACTGAGAAATCCATTTGTTCCAGAAGATCACCCATAGACAAGTATTAAGAAAAGCCTTTACATGTATAGATGAATTCAGTTAGCCTGTCACTGAGGAATGCAAGCAAAAGGAATTCTGAACTTTAGCTTGTATTTCTTCCTACAGAACTGTCCATTAAAAAACCAAACAAAAAACCCAGTAAGATCAACACAGGACCTGAAGTACAAATCAGTTGCCACTGGCCATCACACTATTTGAAATGTTTTGGTATTTATGATGAACACACCCTTTTCTCTAACTTTTGACTGAAAGGTTGTGCATACAGTGTTTAAGTCCCTGTTTTCAAAGTTTAGCCCAGAAAACCAAATTAATTTTATTTTGAAATATTTTTTTTCCATATTTATAGTTTTTCTACTGTGACACCTTCCTGGTTTTTGTTTCAATGTGTATATTTTAAAATAAATCATATCAAACAATTCAAGTAATTGGATCTAAATCTCTACTGACATGCAAAGTTATAAAGGAAGTTCTGATAAAGTCACTGTAAAGATGCAACAAGAATAGCGAATACACATTACTACACCACCTTGTAGTTCAGCTGTGCTTTCTGTAAATGACTTTTAAATTCTTTGATGAAAGGAGAGAATAAATTGCTTTAGTCTTCACAGATAATGTAAGGAACATCCCTCTACATACAGACTGTCTCTTAGAATTTAACACAAGAGATTTTCAACATTATGCATTACCATTTAAACAGGAAATGTAGACTACAAGAGCACAGAATGAATAAAAACCTTTTTAAAATTGACATAATTTAAAAATCAAACAACTTCATATATTTAGTTCTCAAAGCAGCTTCCATTCTACATTTAAGTCTTAAGTACCCGAGCATTTTAATCACTGTACATATGAATTGGAGCTTAGATGCCTTCCAGGCAAATAAAAGTTGTAGCCAGATATTAATAAAACACAGGAGCAGAAAGGGAATTAAAACTCTACATTCTTATATCGCACAATTCAAGTTTATTCCATTCATTCTTGCAACACAAACTTAAAAATACAGTATCATTTAGCATTCTGATTCTATGAACCATGATAATAATGAACCCAACTGTGTCAAAACAGTTAACAATGGTGAAAAGAAGTCAAATATCAAAATGCACAAAGCACTAATTTTTTCCGTCACTGCGTAGAAAGATGATTGTTTATCCATTTACAAAATATAATTAAGACAAGTTCATTTTGAAATTTTGCATGCAACACTGCAATTGCTTGACCTAGGACACTCCATTCTTACCAGCCTCTTCTACAAATAATTCAATGTTATGTTCAAGGATAAAATTCCATTTATCTACTGTACTCCTTTTCCCATTTGCTCCCCCTTAAGTAAAAGGAGCAGGGGATACAAAATCCAAAATATACTTAAGGTTATAACTTACTCAGCACAAATTTAAAAGGAAAAGGTTTAAGAACCTAAGAAAGATTTCCAAAGTATATGTGATTCCAGTCTGACAGAGTATTTAAATTCTGTTTATAGAATGTAAAATAATTTAGAGTTTGGTGTTTTCATCTAGTTAGGAGATACTCAAAGATAGAGGCAGCCACCCATTATTTTTTCCCACAATATAGCTAACAAGGGAACAAATGAATAAGCCCACTTTTTAGACAATTACAAAAACATAAGCTTTTATTATTACTTTTTTTAAACTCTGGGCAAAATGATCAAATCACCTTTTATGTAGTGCAAAAATCAAAATATTTCTTTATGAGCCAAACATTAAATGCCATCTTTTAACTATCTCAAAAGGCAGCTTGGGTATATATTACAGCCAAATTAATACTTGTCTCACTGAAGTTCATTTGCACGTTTTTTCCTCAAGTGAAGCAAGAAAAAAATAAAGGTGTCCACATAACTGTAGAAAAAGGGAGGCAAAATAGCCTCAGTGAATCACCAGAAGAGTTAGTACAAAGATGATGTTTCTTTACTATAATGCTCACTTAAATGAGTTGAAGGGAAGGGCAGGAAAGAATAGAGAGAAAAACAACAAAAAGAAAAGACTATGGCCAGACAACTCGACATTAATCAACACAAAACTTGAATAATCAAGTTTTCCACATAAAAACAGATTGCAGTTTTCTAGACTAGTATTTTATCAGCTAAGTATTTAATAGCATAATATGGAGGCAAATTTATGCCAAAGATGGCTACTTTCATAGATGAATAAAGAGTTAAACCTACAGTCTGCGTTCACACTATTACAATGACATGACAATCCAGCACTGATCAAAGATTAAAGAGTTCTCTTTAAATAGTCATTAAAAGCACTGTTCACCAAACATGCGCTTTTTTTTTTTATCAGCAGCTCACCAATTGATTTATCACTTATTTCCAACCTTTCTGCTCTTCCTTGCCACTCAGCTCCAACAAGCAAAGAGTAATTGCATTGTACAGTTTATGGCCAGAGTTGACTTATCTTCATTGCTTTTCTTATGGGATGTGTACATGTAGATCAGTTCTCTTCTCTCATTTTACAGTCTAAATACAAGGCTTTTCATAGCTGAGACATTCAATCACAATATGCAACAGGATTCAAGTAAAACTAGGTCTCCATTAAATACAAGTGGTAGTCACCAGCCTACTTCTACATATCCTCTTAATTTCAGTGATATCAAAATAATATCGGCTACTTTTGTTTAAGAATTCAGCATGAGACATTATATACATTTGTTTTCTGTATTGTTCATGTTATCAGGAAGTTTGAAATCTATATTCCAAAAAAGAAGATGTACAGTTTGTGGTATACACTTTTCTGCTATAAAACCAGTTTTCCGTAATCAGCAGCCTAATGAAAATTTTCTTGATGAAAGCCAGAAGCTCAGACATTCCTGAGGACCCTAAGATGTGACAGGAATCTCTAGAACATCATTAAATACCTTCCCATGAATCAAGGCTATCATAATTACTGATATAGTAAATCTTATCCAGAATTCAGTGGTTAGTATGGTATGGTTGCACTGGGAACTTTCAAAACAAGACCCATGCTTTAATGAAATTTAAGAGGTTCATTTTGTGATCAATGAAAATGATTCAAAGATATGCAAAATTTAAAAGGTTTGGGTTTTTTTCCTCCAGTAGTTAGAGCAAGTTAAGACTTCTACTTGTACATCTTCTTGTTCCTAACACCTGAACTTAGAAGGCTTACGTGCACTTTAAAAGTTTACCAGAAAAGTTTATCAACAATATTCACCTGATATGAATGTCCAAATAATTACCATTCGTTTTCCACATGTGACTAGATTATTCTTACATAGCAAACAGCCTGTAGCTTTCGCACATGTCTATACATTTTATGGTGACATGGTGAGTAAAGAAATTCCATCTTACAATCCTTTTGGAAATAACTACAGTGACATTTTGAACTCTCTCAAAAACAGTTGCTTAGAACATCTGTCCTGGACTAGAACAAACATGGGAAAGAAACCTCAAATTCAAGCACCCAAAAGTACCTTGGCAGATATTCTGGAGTGTATCATGTCTCAACTGATCTTTCCTGATTTACTCAAGAATCAGAAAAACACTAGTGTGACATCCAATTAGTCAATATAAAGAACAGCTCCAATAACTAGTATCAAAAGTCCTCAAAACTGCAACATAAGCTTTAGGCAGAAGAAGAAAGCTACCCACAGAGAGAAGAGAGAAAAGCAACCCAGCCACCTACATTACTACACTTCAGATTACAGCAGACACTAATAGCATGGGACTATTGTCTCCTTCACAATTAGTTTCAGGTACATAGCACAGTACTTCCATCTAAAGGAATCCTTCAACAAAAATCTTAGTACTAACCTAGGAGGTTTACAAGCCAAAAAATTCAAGATCATGGTCTGTCTTCCTTCTTCCATTTTCAGTAGAAATGGGAAGAGATTGTGCACTGAAAAGAGATTGTCCCACTAGAGGGACACTGTTCATAATAGTTTTCAACCCTCTCCAAACAGATTATCTTTGATACAAGCCCCTAACTAGTCTGATTCATAAAGAATTTCCCTCCCCCCGAAGTATTTAGCTGAAGAAGCTGGAAGATGCAAAGAGTGACAGACAGGCAGCAGTGTGAGGCCACAGGAGAGACACTTAAGATATCAGTCCATCCGTCACTGAAGAAGAGTTTTGATTGCCTGGTTGTCAGTGGCTTCAAAGGCAGTTAGTCCATCTGGGCCCTTCACAGACTTATCAGCACCCTGTAAAGACATCGAGAAGGACTGTCAATTCATAAAGCCAGGCTTTATTAAGTGTGTCACTACAGTTACTTACCTTGGATAACTATATTGATTACATACAGTTTTTTAGTGCAGTGCATTGTTTTCATTTAGAAACAAAACAGGCAAGATTTATGTACAAAACTATTCAGCACACAGGTAATTTAAGTTTCAAACTTTATACTGTGGAACTGGAAAGAAGTCACTAACTTTTGTCACAAGTAACAGGTGGATAGAAAGGATAAACAGAAATGTACCAATTAGACAAACTGCAGAATAATAGTAAGCACGAACCCAGCCTTAGTGCCAGAATTATGGAAGTTGAGTAAAAGAAGGGAAGCAAAGACTGATCAACTAGTCATGTTTGTTCTAAGCACTGTGCAGTCATATACATAAAAAGGGAAAAGCCAGACTAAATAGTATATAGGATAAAGGGATAAAAGAGAACATAGGACTATGAGATAGAGAGATGTTTTCTAAAAACGAGATTCCAGAAAAATTCTTGAGAAGATACGCAAGTCTCACTTAAATATGAGTATTTGCTCAATCAAGTGACAGGAAAAATACTGTGGGTACAGACACACTTTGTCAAGAGCATGTACTGCAGAAGCTTGTCTTTATGTATAAACTCTCCACAGAATAAGTATAAATCTCTTCTCAATTACAAGGAAGGAATTAATTAATAAGATTAATCACAGTTACTATTAAAGACACCTAATAGTTTTCTAAGAACATAATGGAACTAATTACCAGAACTACTTTACCAATAAAAGTTTATACACATAAAACCCCACTAAACTTCCATACATGATACCATGTGTTTTCACAAGACAACTCTCAGTCCACTAAACTTCCTATTGTAACTGTTTCTAATAATTTGATTGACTGGATCCGATATTACTGCGATTTGCTGTCAGTACTACTTCTCACAACACAGAATATTGCCCTCTTTGAAGCTTCTACTCTTTTTACTTATCAATATTCATTCTGCCACCCTAAAAAGATAGTTTTACAGCGGTTTTTAAGGCAGCACTGCCCATCTTGTGGTCCACTGGCCAAAGTGACCCTGCTGGAGCTGTTCAAGCCCCTAGAGACCCTCAGTGCAAGACATGAGCTGCACAGACTTTTGTTTAGTGGCAGTCAGCTGTGGGGCAGGGAGGGTTTTTTTTCCCCCTGTGGCTATCAGGGAAAGAACCCGGGAAAATAAAATTATCTTGAGAACTCCAGTAAAGAATTCAGAGATGGCTATTTACAGCTGCAGTAATTCCTTTCAGGCAGCTCATTTTCTCTAATACTTTTCAGGTAGCAAAATACAGGCAATACATTTTGTGCATATGCAATGAATTCACTCCAATGACAGGAACAATCAAAACATTGACCTCTCCCCTGTCACTATTTAACATCCTTGGCCCAAACAGTATTGCTGCAGTACCACTGTTCTGTTGAGTATGAATGTGAGCTGAATCAGTCTGTTCAAGAAGTGACTAGTTGCAAGCACACTTAGGTTGAAAACACTGAAGCCCATTCCTTGTGAAACATTTATTTTTCCTTTAAAAAAACCTGAGAGATTCAAGAGGTATCTTGACAGTTACAATCTTAGTTATGCTGGGAGAAGAAAGGCAACCATGAAAATAGTAGTGTCTTCTTTTGCAGGTGCTGATTATTTCAGCACTCTCAGACTAGAATCCACAAGGAACTCAAAAAGGCTTCAAAGCTGTTCTTTGATGTTAAGCTCAGAAAACCCAAAGGAATTTAGACTTGAAGAAAAATGGAACTATGCAGTAGACCTGCCAGTACTCAACCTGAATAGGAGTTTACAGAACTTTAACTTATAAAACTCTCCTCAAATGTATGAGCATTTAGGGTATAAAAGAGAACTTCTAGTTTAGACATAGGACTGCTTTCCACTCTCATGCACATATGTACTTCAGAAAAGTTACAGACATACAAGATCAGAGTTTCTATAACAGCTTTAATGTAGGATAAGAGGGTCAGGACTACTCACTCAAGGACATTGTTTAATAAACTCAGTGTTAATCAATTCAGAGAAAGGCCCCTTAGCTAGGTACAAAGATTCCTGCCTGTATTCAATAGGAGAAGGAAATGATAAAGTTCAGGTCAAGAGGACTTCAATTTTCAGAAGTACAACACTGCCTGGAAACAAGTTTAATGAAAAGTTCATAAAAGTACAATGATTTCACAGTATTCTCTAATTCCCCAAAGTAAAAAGCTATTAACATTTTATGTTTGTGTTATGTTCTTTTCCTGAAATACACACAGAAACGTATATACACTCTTTCTTTGGCAGGGTAATAACAAACAAGAATATTTGTCCTCTTAAGTCACTGGACAAAGCACAGATGTTATACATGCTCCAAAGGCAGCACAATAACTACTAGGGTACAATTGCAGTTAAAATAAAAACACCTGGAAGGCAGCAGGTAAAGGCAATGCAGAGCTGTCACCAAACCCTGCAAAGCTGGAATTGAGGCACTTCATGAAGCTGGTAGAAGACTGTATTACATAGCAAACAGCAAACTTCCAGAACAAGTTGCTGGGTGAAATTAGAGGCAGATGTCAGCTTGTTCAAAAAGGATATGGATGAATTCATGGACAACAAATCTATAAACACTTTTTAAAGGGGATAGATGTGTGTACCTCTAAAATCCCCAGCTATGAGGGAAGTAAGTGAGCAGAAGTGGTCATACTCACAACTTTTCCCAAATGGCATCCCTTCTGCCACTGTCAGGAGAAGGAAAAGGTGTTAAATTGCCTAACACTACAGGACTTCTCATAACACATTTTTAGTAGAAAGAGGTCAAATTGCACTAGATATTTTACAAAAAGAAGAAATATTTTGAAAGATGAATAAATGGATGAGATTTGTCACATCTTTTGCAAACAAACCACATCCTCCATTAAAAACATTCAAAAAAGTCTGTCTATTGTAACATGATATTGGTTTCTCCTAGACTAAAAAAAAATATCTTTTTACATTACAAAAAAAAAAGATTCTTAGAGAAAAGCATAGAATAATTTTATATATATATTTCTCTTTTACAAATAGGTATCCCTTAAATCCACTATCCCTAAAAAAACTAAAAGCAAACTGAAATATAGGAACTGATATTGCTTCAATACTCATTATTTTATCTATTTTGTTTTGTAGAAGGTTGGTACATAACATGACCAAAATAAAACCCTGGTATTTTAGAAGACAATTCAATTCTGATTTTGCCAAAAACTACTAAAAATTTATTTCCTCCCTAATAGTATAATATGCTCCAATATTATGTTATTTAGCATTAATAGTACTGACAAGGCAAAAGTGAAAAAATGGACAAAAGATATGCACTTCTGCTTCACTTTCAGGTCATAGCATGCTGCAAACAACTTTATTGTTCAAAATTACAGAGTCTATTCGAATATATCTCAAATTCCTAGAAAAATATTTTAACATTAATAAAAACAATTAACTACTGTTAATGTAGTAGTAAGACAACAAGCCCTGCCTTTGAACTTTAAGGAGGAAGTGCTCTTTAGACCAAACATAATTACTTTCATGTATTACATTAAGTCAGAGCAAAGCAGCATTTTGAACTGAAACTGAGATGCTGATAGAGCAGTTTAGGTATTGCTCTGCAATCCTCCATAGGTCTACTTTTAGGGATGCCTGCAGTATGCTACTCCACATACTTTTATCAACTTGGAAGATACACTAAGAATTCCAAAAACTATTGCTAGGTTACACAGACTGTTGCAAGGCTTGATAGTTTAGAAAAGGAGGATTATTTTAAAAAGGTAGTTTCATAGGAATAGGCAAAATGAATTCTTCAGGAGATATGCTTTAAGGATATAGTATTTTTATCTCTTGTCTGACAAAAACCCCCTATTTATTAAAAAAGCATGTCTCAATGCTGACCTAGAGGGTTTACGCTACTTCTGGTAGCCACAACACAAAGATTTACTAATTCTACTTCAGAAAATTCACTTACCCTTTGTTGAGGGCAGTAAAAATAATCTTCACCCATTGTGTATTTCATTGCTCAGTGTCCTTCAATTTTTGAGAATTAATGAGATTATCTTCTGGTAATAATAGGTTAATTAAGCCTTCTAGAGGCTGATAAGGCATACATGTAGCAGTCATATGTTTTGTGCCCAAATGGAAACTAAATGATTTTATAATGTATAGAAAAGTTTCAAGTATAAATCCTCAAATATTTTTTTTTTCCCCACTTAACGTTTTACAATTTTATAACAAATTAACAATTTCAGACCAACATTGAACATTTTAAACCTGCCAACAAAAACTTTGGTTTTGTTTTTAAGTTTAAATAACCACATTATCAATATTTTGGTTTAGTCCATATTGGGCAGGACTAAACCAATCACAGATGATGACAGCTGTGCTATGGTGAAAACCATTTAACAAATCCAATCTGTGAAAATCATAACAGTAATTGATTATGGCTGATCATTATGATAAGCACAACAGCAGTTCTTGAAAACAATTTGTAATCTCAACTTTTGATATTTTCAAACCACGTCTAAGTTCTTATAATAAATCAAACTCAGCATTGCTGATTCCAAAATGAAAACATCTGAGCAACGGAAACTGCACTGAAATGCTAACTTCAAAAGAAAGTGTGTAACAAAGGCCCTTTTGAGAAAATACCTTACGTTTGGAAGAGTGTATCTACCCTTAAATTATGTTTGGTGTTTTTTAGTAAATTCAATGTATGCACTGTAATTAGGAAAGGTAAGTCATATAACTATTCCACTCTCCATAAATAAAACAACTGGCATTGTAAACCAAAATAACTATGTTTGTTATTTCTGGGGTTTTTTTATGTTGGAAGAAATGTCTAAATTTGAATACCAACACAAATTATGGTAATAAGTGAAGCTACAGTTCAAAGTACCTTAATCATAAAACCATAAATAAGCAATTTTTATGCTTCATGAATAAAAAAATAAAAACA